GGGCACCGGGGCTGAGGCCAGGGCTGCCCGATGGCACTGCTGGCAGCACCTGTGGGGACCGGGCACTGTCACCCTGTGAGCACCTGGCACTGAGACCCCCAGTACCAGAGGGGGACACTCTGGAAACACTCTGGAGACACAAGAGACTTTGGGATGGGGACATAATGGGGACGGGGACATCTGGGGTAATGGGTTTTGGAGCCAGAGACATCACAGATGGAGGGGCTTGGGGAGGTGGACACCATGGACCTGCAGAGGTGACACCACAGGGACCACAGGGACCACAGGGACAGGGACCCTGCTGAAAGTGCCATAGGCACATGGATGGGGACACCACAGATGCAGGGAGGGGGACAGGAGAGGACACCATGAGAAGCCACGTGTCACAGGCCTGGTGACACCATCACACACAGGAAAAAGACAGTGGGGAAGGGGGTGACACTGCCCAGAGAGGGGGGCACTGGGACAGGAAGGGGTTGGGAACACTGGTACCCACCTCGGGCAGGGACAGACAGAGGCCAGGGAGCAGCGGGGGGGGCTCTTGCTCAGCAGAGCCTGGCTGGGGGGTCACCGGGACATCCGGGGGCACTGGCACCGGGTGCAGCGGCAGCTGGAGAGGAGAGAGAAGCTGGGTTAAGCTTTGGGGGGGCTCTGCCCCATGCCCACCCCCCAGCCCCGATGCAGCCCCAGGCACACCTGGGGGAGGGACCCAGTGGAGAGCTGCAGCTTCTGCTGGAACAGGTCGCTCAGCACCTGGTTCTGCCGCTCCAGCTCGAAGACACGTTTCTTCAGCTTGATGCACTCCTCACGCAGGTCCTGGAAGGGGTGTGGGGGATCAGCCAGGACCCCTCAGCGTCCTCCCAGCCCCCTCACACCCTCCTGACACCCACCTTCTGGTTGAGCAGTGCCTGCACCACGTGGTTGGCAACCTGGGGAGGAGAGGGGAGGTCTGGGTGGGGGCACAGGGCACACGCAGCCTCCTGCCCCAGCACACAGGTGGGCACAGGTGCCCTGTGTGTGTGGGTGCTCTCCAGTACCTCGTCCAGGCAGCGCTCGTACGTCTCCCTCTGGTTCTCATTAGCCTGGGCCAGGGCTGAGTTCTCTGCCTAGAACAGAGCAAGGACAGCTCAGGGGACAGCTCCGGGGACATCCCCATGGCACCAAGCACCTCTGTCTCCTGGTGCCACACACAGCAGGATGGGGCTGCACGAGGGCCACAAAAAACTGGGAAGTGCAACCCATCACCACGGCGTCCAGTGTGGGCACTGGCCACGGCTGGCTCTTGGCACTGCCCGCACGGTGGCCACAGCCACGGCTTCAGTGGCCACAGCTGCCCAGGGGTGCCGTGTCCTGCTGGTGCCATCCCTGCGTACCTCCAGCTCCCGCAGGCGCTGCAGCAGCTCATGGCTGGTGCCCGTCTCCCCCAGCGCCGCCGGGCTCCCGGCTCCCGGCGCCTCGGCCACGCTCTCCGACATCGCTGCTGCGGGGGACACGCGTCACCGCGGGCTCCCTGCTGGCCCCTGGCCGGTGGCACCTGGCCTGAGGCACCCCCAGGCCCGGCACAGCCCGGCCCTCTCTTACCTGGCGTGGGATGTCCCCAGCCCCGGACCTGTGCGGTGTCACCTGCCAGGGAGAGCTGGGCTGAGGAGGGGGATGGAGCCCCTTCCTCAGTCCTGACCCCTCCGGCACCAGGAGCCGCAGGGACCCCTCCTGCTGCCCCCCTCCTTCCCGGTGCTTCAGGGGAAGCTGATCGGCCCCGGGGTGCACAGCACCCCCGAGACCGGGACCGGGACCAGCCCTGTGGCACCGGGGTGTGCAGCACCACTGGCACCGGGACCGGTGTGCCCCAAGGGCCGGGGCCGCCACCGGCACAGGGTCACGAGGATGTGCAGCACCACCGGGACCGGAACCGGCACAAGCCCCGGGGCACCGGGATGTGCAGCACCTCCGGGCTACAGGAACACGCAGCAGCCCCGGGGCTGACCCCGGCTCCGGGACACCGGGATGCGCAGCCCCGGTGCACAGGACCCCCGGCGTTCAGACGGGCCCCCCCCCAGCGCCGCACACCCCCCGCTCCACCCTGGGCTTCCCCCGCCGCCGGTGCCGCTGCGTCCCTGCGCTGAGCCCCGGTCCCGGTCCGTACTCACGCCCGGGGCTCCCGGTGGCGCCGCCGGTCGCGGCTCAGAGCGGCCCTGGGGCCGGTCCCGGCGACGGCGGCGTTTCCATCCCGGCCCGGCCCGGCCGCGCTATTGTTGGGAGGCGGCGGCGGCGGCTCCGCCTTCCCGCCGCGGCCGGGGAGGAGCCGGGATGGAGCCGCCGCCTCCCCGGTGCGCGGCTCCGCCAGCGCCAGCCCCGGGGAACCGGAGCTGAGGCCCCCGGGAGCGACGGCACCGGCACACCGGGAATCATCCCGGGAGGGGAAGCACCGGGAATCCCCCCGCGGCACCGGGCACCGCCGGAGGGACGGGGCAGAGCACGGAGGGATCCCCACCGGGCATCCCGCACCCTCCGGAGGGACTGCCCGGAGCCCCGGGACCCCTCGGGGAGCCCCCCGGGGCTGCAGGCGCGGAGCCGAGCCGGGACCCCCGGCCGTGGCCTCTGCCCCCCGCCCCTCGAGGGTGAGGTTTGGGGTTTTGGGGTTCACACGGGGCCGCGCGTCCCCGGTTCACCCGGACCCCACGGAACCGCGGGGGGCTCCGCAGGACAAGGGAGACCGGAAGGGACAAGAAGAAGGTTTGGGGGTGATGCGGGGGACAAGAAGAGGGTCTGGGGGTGATGGAGGGACAAGAGGAAAGTCTGGGGGGCACGGCCACACCTCGCACGTGCTGTCCCCGTCCCCTGCAGCCCGCGGGGCGAACCCACGCGGGTCCCTGCTGTCCCCATTGTCCCTGAGGTGCCCCCTCGCCTGCCCCCCGAGCAGGAAGCGGCCCCGGGGCCGGCGGCTCCGGCTGCGTCACGGGGGGAAGTGAGGCTGTGTCTGGAGGGGAAGAGCAGCCCGCGGCCCCCCCAAGCCCCCGGCGGGTACAGCCGGGGGGGCCCCGACAGATGGACAGCGCCGCCATCCCCTCCCCCAGCGTGGGGCCCCGCGAGGGTCCCTGTGGGGAGGGGGACACGGCGTGGGGACACTGCCAGGGCCACCCAGAGCCCGTGTCCCCTCCCCGGTACCCCCCAGTCACTCTGTCCCCGCCGCCCTGGGCACTGTGGGGACACGGCGTGGGGACAAGGCACGTGCCCAAAGCGCAGCCCAGGACGTGCCAGCGTGGCTGTGACGGGCTGGCCCCGGCCTGTCCCACACCAGAGTCCCCATGCCGAGCCCAGGGACATGGGGTGACAGTCCCGAGTGTCCCCAACCCTGCTGGAGCTGTTCTGGGGGCAGCCAAGACACCCTGGGGACAGCCCAGGGACATGGGGTGACAGCCCCGAGTGTCCCCAACCCCGCTGAGCTGTTCTGGGAGCAGCCAGGACACCCTGGGGACAGCCCAGGGACATGGGGTGACAGCCCCGAGTGTCCCCAACCCCGCTGAGCTGTTCTGGGGGCAGCCAGGATGCACCAGGGACAGCCCAGGGACAGCCAGGATGTACCGGGGACAGCAAGGACACCCTGGGGACAGCCGGGATGCACAAGTGGGATGTGCTAGAGAAATGGCCTCGGGGTGTGGGGACACATCGAGGACAGCTGGGACTCGCCAGGGACACGCAGGGACAGCCAGGGATGCGGTGGGGACACTAGGGACAGTCAGGATGTGGTGGGGACAACAGAGACATGCAGGGGACAGCTGGGGTGTACTGGGGACACTGGGGACTGTCGGGTGGGATGAAATACAGTGAGGGACACCCCAGGGATAGCCGGGATGCAGTGGGGACACTGAGGACACCCCTGGGACAGCCAGGATGCACTGGGGACATTGGGGACACCACAGGGACAGCCAGGATGCACTGGGGACATTGGGGACACCCCAGGGACAGCCGGGATGCAGTGGGGACACTGAGGACACCCCTGGGACAGCCAGGATGCACTGGGGACATGGGGGACACCCCAGGGACAGCCGGGGTGCAATGGGGACATGGGGGACACCCCAGGGACAGCCGGCGTGCACTGGGGACACTGAGGACAGCCCAGGGACAGTCAGGATGCACTGGGGACACCCCAGGGACAGTCCGGGTGCAATGGGGACATTGGGGACACCCCGGGGATAGTCAGGATGCACAGGGGACACTGGGGACAGTCGGAATGCTCTGGGGACACCCCAGGGACAACCAGGACGCAGCGGGGACACCTCAGAGACAGCCGGGATGCTCTGGGGACAGCGGGGACACCCCAGGATGCACCGGGGACAGCGGGGAGAGCCGAGGGCACAGCGGGGATGCACCGGGGACATGCGGAACACCACGTACCGGGCCACCGCCGCCGTTCCCCCGGGCTCAACCCCCACCCCCCACCACGGTGCCCGGAGGCCACGGATGTCCTCCCCCCGCCTCCGGTGTCCCCGAGGAACCGCCCGACCCCCCGGTCCCCCCGCCTGCCCCTCGCCGCGGAGCGACCGGACTCACCGGGGGCTACGGCAGGGCCGGGGCCGGGACGGCATGGCCGGGGCTGGGACCGGGACCGGGGCGGGACCGGCGGCGGCGGTGACGTCATGGCT